CAGGACAAACACCTGACAATTTTGGGCTTTTTTTTTGTTGTTATTTTGTTACTAGGCTGCTACTGTTTCTTTAAACAGCTTGTCCAGGGGAAAGATTTTAAAATACCTATAATATTAGTCTGGGGAAACAAAAAAAGGACTTCATTCAGTTTTATTCTTAAAGAAAATAGATTTCAATAAATACATATATATGGGCTTTTTGTTTGTTTTTTTTTCCCCTAGAGTAAGGTTTGCCCATTTTTGATAGACCCTTCTTTCCGGGCTACTGAATGGTTGAAGACACATTTGAAGGAATCACGTCTGGAAGTTATTAACCAACAGGTGCAGTATTTACTCTTGGTCTTAAAATTCCATTCTGCTTGAGCTCACTATATTCCAGACTTCGGAGAGCAGTTTTTAAGGATGTGTGATATGAATCACCAAAATTGGGGTTATATTCTGTGAAGCATATGATTTCTCACAGGATTCTTGTTTACAATGATTCTTACCTGGTATTGAAAATATTAAATGATTTTCAAAGAGAGAGGTCTTTTGCATTCTTGGTTGCAGTTCACTGGACTTGAGGAATATGTATATGCTTTTTCATTATGATATTTGTGCTTTATTATCTATGTTGGGAATAGTAGATTGAATTTCAGTTTAAGAATGAGGAACCTGAGATTAATTGTCTGCATGTCACTTTAGATGAGTAGCAAGGCTTGGCTCAGTTGCACACGCATAGGCAGGCACCAAGTGCCATTCAGAAGTTCTTTAGTAAACCCTGCCTGACTTCAGGATATTGCTTCAAGGGAACCCCTGCTTCCACAGATTGCCTCCACAGATCCCTGCCAGCTCTGGGCAGGCCTTTTAATTTCTCTCTGATACTACTAGATACGTATCTCTGGGTAATTGAGTCCTTCCCCTGCTAGCTGATTGGCTTGATTACCCTTTAGGTTCTGGTGTCTGCGTTGTCTAGGATCTCCACTAACAATAATGGATTCTTGAAAACCAAGTATATGTTTAGACACCTACATGTGTTTAAGTATTTTAACATCGATGTGAATCCTGTCCTTAGGGTGATACGTAACTACCTGTAAGACATGAGATGCGTTAACTAGCCGGGGCTTCCAGGTGCACCTCACAAATGTGACACAAGACCTGTGATAGTCCTGCTCTCTTCCAGTGCAGCACTCGGAGAGCTAAACATATTAAATAGATTGCCTGCATGTCAGTCGCTGAATAGATGAAACTTTTTAAAATTAAACATTTGTGACTAAACCCTGAAATATCGTGTGATGCTTGTAATAGGATTTTTCAGCTATAGTGCTGATTTTTAGATTCAAATTCCTGGTATAATGCCTTCCTGTTCATTTTGAAGTGTTCAAAACATGAATCAAAGGAATTTATTTTTATGTGCCCAGGACACCAACTTCCTAACGGCTCTTGAGCTGGCAGTGAGATTTGGGAAAACACTTATTATACAGGAAATGGATGGAGTGGAGCCTGTACTTTACCCGTTGCTAAGGAAAGATCTTGTTGCTCAAGGTAAACGACCAAGATCTTTATAAAAGTTTCCTCAGATCTTTTGTAGGTTAGGTCTATATATATATATCATATAAAATTCAGATTTTCTAAAAGTATTATTTCGTTCTTTGCTCTTTAATACTAACCTGCTACTAACATTTCAGTGCATGAAATAGGTTGGAGAAATGTTCTTGTTTAGTAAGTGGAAACACTGAAAGATATTTAAAGATTTGTTGACTGGAATTAGAATAAAATGTTTTTATCAACTCCTCACAATTTAAATTCTAAGTTAAATTGTAATGATAATTTCAAACACATAGTTTTACTTAGGAGCTTGGGCCTTAAGTAGACCAGAAATTACACAGCTGGTTGTGTAGTTAGAAATCAGAGTTTTAGAATGTTGGTGTTGCTCTTTGTCTTTCATTTACCAGAAACTAAAGAAGGTACACAGGCCTGTCCCTGAAGTGACTTTGGAATCCAGGGGGAGGCATGAAGATCAGCAAAATGGTAGAATTTGGTGGAAGGAGTCTCCCTAACTAATGCAATGAAAGGGAAAAAACCCCACACGTGTACATTTTACAAGATCTCTGCTTTGGAGAAGTAACACACTATGTAACTCTGAAGAATTCTTAGATACATTTGTCTCCTACACTAGAAAGGCCCATTTAGTGAAAAGAAAATGTTAGTTTAAATCAAACTGCAGATGTGCTTGCTTGTTTATCCTTGGTAAAAGTTGCAAGCATCCCCAAAGCAGCGACTTCAGGGATCTGTTGGAGTCTTGGTAGAACATCTTTGCAACTTTTTTTGTCGCTAGCTTCTGCTGAACTTTGGAAAGCAGAAAAATATTACACGCATCTTAACTAACTCAAGAAATTAAATTAAGAGATGAATATTCCTGCAGAACTATTGAGAAGACAGATTAAGTTAAAATGTACTAGTTTATTTAGGGAAATTCCTTATGACACTCGGGCGTCCTCTGTTGCATGCTAATGAGCTACGTTAATGCTGGGGCTGTGCAAGTGCAAACTAGGGAGCTTGGTTTTGAAAAAGGAGAATGGGTCACTGAATCTTTTCAGTTGCTTCCCAAGCAAGCCCGCCCTCCTTCTCTTTGTCAAAACGTGGAGGTGGGGGGCTGTCAGCATTATTTTGCTTGTGATGACTGTACATCTTTTCATTATTTGGAATGAAATGTTACAGAAAGTGTGAATATCTATATGGCAATAAATTTGCCCTTGTGCAACTTCAATTTTCTGTTTGACATTTTTACAGCATAGGACTAAAATTCATTCTGATTCGTGGCACAGAAGCAAAATTGATATGGGATTTTCATTTCTACCAGTGTTTTAGCAAGAGATTTATACTTGAAGCATTTCTGATCTGCTCCTGCTGCTAAAATTAGAGAAGTGTCTAACTATGCCACCTCAGAAGTTTGTCTGGAAAGGAAATTTTTACTTTTGAACTTTTCATCTTATAATTCTCTACTTCTTTTATAGTATCAGGAGGCAAAATCTTACCCTATTAATAACACTTTCATACTGTGATTAAATGTATTTATAGTAAGACAAGTTTATGGGATGTTTATTAATGGAACATTTTACTTTCAATCTAGTGACTAGGTATTCCAGCATCTTTAATTTCATAGGCTTTCTCTATAATAATTATCATAGAAATTTTTATAGAATTTTCATTGAATTATGATTGTACAGCAACATCAACCTTCTACAAATACGTGAAGATCCAGATATGAATCTAATGGTATTGGATAACATTCAGGAAATGTTGAACAAATTTAGTTAACCAATAATTATGGCCAGTGTGTTTTGATAGAGTGGTAGACCTATGCGGAAATGTAAATGAATGTGTTTAAATTATGACAGGGTTCTTACATAAAGGGGAGATTTTTCAGTGCATTTTCTGTGGTGTTTCATCTCCTATTCATTGTTTGAAGATTTCAAATATATGTTAGTATTGCTTTTACTTCAAGTGCATTTTTTGCCATTTATACTGGTTAAGGATAATTAAACTACCATGATGCATTAAATATTCTTGCTATGTAACTTTCTTAACCCGTGCTATGTTGCTGCATTTTTTACCTGACAATGCCACACAATTTATAAAAAAAAAAATTATAGGATATATGTGCATCTATTGGTAGTAAAGTATTTCACAAATGCCATTATTTTCATATCATTCTAGAATGTTCCAATCAGACTGAGTATAACATGTATTTGTTATTTGCAGGGCCCCGTTATGCTATACAAATAGGTGAAAAAATGATAGATTATAATGAAGAGTTCCGTCTTTTTCTATCAACAAGGAACCCAAATCCCTTCATTCCACCTGATGCTTCTTCTATTGTTACAGAAGTAAACTTTACCACAACAGGAAGTGGTTTAAGAGGGCAGGTAGGCATTTAGAGTAAAAACAATGTATGTCTAGTGGATATTCTTAGCTACATCCAGCTTCGGGAAGAAGCCCTGTGGAGCAGTTTGGATTAATGATGATGGAACTATTTCCTAGCACACAAATATTGATGCTAAAACTAAATTTAAATTTTCAGCTCTTGTTTTTATGCACTTTGGAACCAGGTAGTGAGTCCAATAGAGAAAATCTAAACCACCTCATTGACTTCACTTGCAACACATTAACCTGAGCTTCTGTTTTGTGTTCAGATTACATTTATAGTACCATGGAAACATTTCTGTTATTGCTCTCCAGTGTCTTAGTTAGAGAAAATGTGTACAGGAAAAATGTAGCAAAACCAAAAAGCTCTATATTTTACTTCCTCCCAAATGCTAGTAGCTTTTGAGATTTCTCTAACAGTTAGGAAGCAAAATGTAGTGTACAGACAGATGAAAAAAAAAGACAAGAGAGAAGTTCAGGGCAGAAAAAACCCCTTTATTTGGTATGAAACAAGTTTTTCCAAACTAACAAGAGGTTTAGAATGGGTTTTAAATAAGATGTTGATAAGTAAGATATAATTCAAAACATGAACGACAGGTATGGATTTCCTCCCTTCCCTGGAGGTAGGGAATCAACATTAGACAATGTAGCCAAGTGGATTGACCCCCTCTTTAAGTGGAAATACAGAAAATAAAGCTTAATTTTTTGTTTTCTCTCTCTGTTTGCAAAAGAGGGGTTTGATTTCTGTTAGACTTGCTGGAAAGAAGTTTACTGCCATTCTTTCCACTTTGTGTTCTGTGTCCCCTAGTTCTTTGTATATCTGATGACAGAACGTACGCTAATGAAGGCTGCCAGTCTTTTAAAAAGAGACGGGATTTGCATTGAGGTGCAAAGGTTTAGGTCTCAGCATAAAAGGCTGTGAATCAGTGGCCACAGTAGAGGGATCCAGTGCCTTTGAGATCTCCCTGAGTATCTCACCTGGCTTGCAGCTGCTGTTACACATAAGGGCACGGTTCACAGTAGTCCCTGGGTTATATTTGCCACTCCACGATATCCTGGATGTCTGCATAGATTTAAAGCTATTGGATGTCTAATGCAACTGAGTAAACCTTCAGAAATCTGCTTTCAAAAATATAGACTACGTACTCCTATATGATTAATTAGTATATATTATGCTATATAATTAATGAATATATATTATGAAATACTAGAGTGTTTTTTATCCTGTTGAATAATCTCTCTTTTTAGCTTTTAGCTTTAACAATTCAACATTTAAAGCCTGATTTAGAAGAGCAGAAGACAAAACTGTTACAACAGGAAGAAGATAAGAAGATACAGTTAGCTAAGCTTGAGGAATCTCTGTTGGAGGTAAAATAAATTTAGCTCTTTTATATCTGTTAGATGAATAACATAGTGTTCATTTTCCTATGTGTTTGAATTAAGATGGTCAAAGTGTTGGAATAATGAAGCCTCAGAATTTTTGATTTGAGAAAATGAAAGTAATGTTCGCATGGGGCTGTTGGGAGAGTAAAGTGGATAAGTACATCTGTCATGAAATTGTATTTCAACATGTTAAGCATTGTCAAAATTAATTGATGGGCTAGGTATAGGCTGGTTTAGAATGATTAGAAATGTCTTTAGTTTTAATGCATTATAAAAGAGAAAACTTTACTATTTCTTTTTCAGATTATGGGATTTTTTAAAAAAACACATCTTTAAGCTTATGAATCATGTCAAATGATACTTTCTCAAATTTAGAAGTGATTCTGTGTTGTGAAAGGAAAAAAAAGGTGAAAGAAAAATTCCCAGTAGAAAATGTAAAGATTAGTTGAGAGACATTTAAAACTGTAAAATTCCACATTTGTTTCTTAATAGCAATGAAGTGTAATGTTCTCTATAGATAACACTTTCTCATATTTAAAAATGAGAAAATATTCAAATTTTAAGATTTCAGTTTGCCTTTTTATTTTAATGAAAGTAATTATGGTCAGAAACAGTTGTACACCTTTATAAGAAAAGGTAGCTTCTAAGGAAGAGGTCTGTTTTGTTTTTTATTTGTGTATTGTCATGGATTTTACAGAAGCTGTACTTCATGCTAATAGAAATGGATCCTCAAATCCTCCTGATCATACAAGTCATTCTCAAAAGCTTGTTGATGACTTAAGGTTCAGAACGTGGAAATCTGGTTTTTTGGAATTTGTTCTTGGATTTTATTTTCCATGTTTCTTTAAAAGAAAGTCTCAGTTTTTGGACTAACTACCTGATTCTAGTACTCTTGATACATTTAATGATTGAGAAATATATATAGGTCAGGAAGGACAGATTTCATAATGGTTACTTTACTTTTTTTTTAATGTAAAACAGATGACTCTTTTTTTTTACAGACACTTGCCACATCTCAAGGCAACATACTAGAAAATAAGGATCTGATTGAATCTTTGAATCAGACTAAAGCAAGTAGTGCGCTCATCCAGGAATCACTTGCTGAATCTCATAGACTTCAGAGTTTCCTTGATAAGGTAGAAGATAGTATATTATTACTGTATTTTTTTTCCTGTGAAAAATGGTCGTCATCTATATAGAGAGGGTATATACATTCCCAGGAGTATAAGATCAGTAACAAACTAAGTGAATTTTTTGGAGTAAAAGAGTTTGGATATGAAAGTACAGAAAGTATTTTCAGTAATTAAATTCCTTTGTTTTTCACATGTTGAATAGCTATGCAATTTAAAGTCTGCCACTTTGAATTAGAGGAAATTTCCCCAAGGACTTTCTGGCAAGTAATGGGTTTTAACTTTATTTTTGCCATCTGCTATTGCAAACAGTACAGCTCATATGGATGTTCTTACTTAATATATCCCTTGCTATTGCAGAAATTTAGATCATTGGTGTTGCTGTTCATCTGACATGCTGGTTTTGTGACACATTGCAAAGTTTTCCTGTGTCCTTATTTGTTTAAATTATTCTATTGAATTTTGGGATGTATTCTGTGATGGGAAGAAACCTTAGTGCCCTAGGGATTAATTTCCAAAATGTTCATCATAATTTAAAGTTTTTTGCTAAAAACACTTTCTTCTTATTTTGAAAGACAGTGTTGAAGTCTCAAGTGTGTGCGCCTCAATTTGTAGAACTGGAAAGGATTCAGTTTTCTAAAGCAGTGGGAGTCATCGGGATGCTTTTTCCGTGGGATGGATTCAGGTTTATCCAAAAACTGATAGATGGCAGTAATGTGCTCGTGGTTTATATGTGCGTGGTTTTTTTATCCACAGGAGAGGGATGCCTATCTCCCTTTAGCTGAGAGTGCCAGCAAGATGTACTTTATTATGTCTGACTTGTCCAAAATTAATAACATGTATCGCTTTAGTTTGGCGGCTTTCCTGCGCCTTTTCCAAAGGGCTCTGCAAAGTGAGCAGGTATTTTCTCTTTTTGTGAAGCTGTTAATGTTGCTTTAATCCTTTAAATTTGTTAATTGCTGGGACATTTTAAAAAAATAACATATAATAACCAATGTTGAAATGTGCAGAAGGGAGATGCTGATCTGCTGTGCTTTAGATATTCAGAATACTTGCACGTGTAATTAATTTTTAATGGTCTGAAACTACATATAAATAGTAAAATTGCTTTGCTGTCTGAAAGCAAAGTAACTCTTACTTGTGATTTCAGGCTTGCTCCTTGTGAAGTAGAAAAAACCAAGGTTTATTTTAACTTTACTGAAGCCTTTATTTACATAAATTAATGATCTAATCTGTAAATAACACTAATTTTATCAACAAGAGGTAGAATAAGAAAAGACCTATATTTCTACATGGTTCAGATACCTGAAGGAAGAGCAAAACTTTATGTACTTTTATGCAGTTTGTAAGCATGCATGCAACCTGTCTTGAAAGTGTAATTTTTAATTTTCTGTGTTCTAACAGCCAGCATATTTTTCTTACTTAAACACAGAATTATAGATTTATCGCTTGTCGCCTGACTCTTCAGATCTAAAAAATCACACTGAGTAATGATGCATTTTCTTTTTATTCAGCATCTCCAAAATTCAATGTATTTCTCTTTGTTTTCACTTTAAAAAAGGTATTCACCAGCTTTTCATCATGTCACTTTTGGATTCTTCTTTATTCTGGTTTCTATCTTTACAACTTTGAGCTCCAGTCCTTACCAGAACTACAGTTTGGACTGTGTGAACTTGCCCTATTTAAAGTACTTTACCTATTACTTCCTTTCCATAATATGGGCTTCTAACGTCTTGTTCTTACTTTCACAGTCTTTCATAATTGCTTTTCTTCCTGCCTATTATGTTACTTATTTAAGGCTCAGCTTCTGGTTTTGCTTTCTTTACTTTCTTCTTTTTTTTCTTCTTCTTTATACAATTCTTCATTTTTCCTAAGCTATCTTTTAGACATGGGAAAGGCATTAGTCAAATTAATTTGTGAATCCAAATTGCCCTCCTTCATAAAATCATCTCTTCAAATTCTAGCATGGTAGAAAGGAACTTGTTTCTAAAAAATCTCATTCTACCTGTTACTTTCCTACATAATTTGTTTGGTTTGGGGGTTTTTTTGCCTCTTCTTTCTTCTTTTATCCTATTTTTCTTTCAATTTTGTTGTGTTCTAATTAGTCATTTAATCTGTAAGCTTTGAAGGACTGATTGTATTTACTACTTTCCACAGTGTTAACTTCAGTTGGGCCAAATTTTTTTGGTGGTGCCAATTTTGTCGTGTTCTAATTAGTCATTTAATCTGAAGGACTGATTGTATTTACTACTTTCCACAGTGTTAACTTCAGTTGGGCCAAATTTTTTTGGTGGTGCAGTAACTTAAGTACACTTAAATTCAACATACCTGTTTAATAGCATTACATATAGTAATTCAAATCATAAACAATTTTTTACTAAATGAGAACAATGAGTTTTCAAGGATGTTGTTAGGAGAAGAGACTGTTATCTCATTCTTTTTGTATTTACCTTATACATATTGTAGTATAGTGTTCCCAGTCAAAATATTCAGTGCCAAAATATTAATTTCTTGATGCTTCGAAGCATGAATTTCTTGTTTTGTCATCTACTTATTGATAGATGCAACAGTGAATTTTTGAATTCCAAACTTTTTTTTCTAGGATTCAGCTAATACTGAGGAAAGAATCAACTCTCTTATTAGCTCATTGAAGCATACAGTGTATGAATATGTTTGTCGTTGTTTGTTTAAGGTAAGATTGTATTTTTTTTCTGGCTTTTATACAGTGCACTATGTTTGAAAGTATTCTTTCAGCAACCAACACTTTGAACTACTTCAGATGAGCTGTATTCTGTCAGTATGTATGTAAAATAGGAAAAAAGTTACACTTGCATTGTTTAGAGTGCAAAATGAGGACTAAAATTTAGGATATGACAGAATTAATATTGCTTATGTACATTTCTCCACAGAGCAGTTTTCTAATGGACAAGGTTATTCTCTGTCTAGTCCTATTTCTACTTTACCTCTGGCTTCTCATCTCTGCCTCATTCTGGCTTTGTAACCAGTCCCAAGCTTCATGATCTTCTGAGCACTTTTATTCTCTTCTATTCTCTTATTCTGGAATTCTGTTTTATTCTCTTATTTCTAGCTTTCCTGAGTGTTTGGCCCAGCTGTCATAATAAGATTTTGTGTGATTATTTGTTTTTTGGAAACTTAAAAAACACGGTGCTATTCTGCTTTCTCTTTTCACATCCTTTTCCAAATCTCTACCTGCTAGCTTGTTTGTTTCTGTTTGCCTTTTCCTCTATATAATGTTCTTAATGTATTTTATGTTTGCTCTGTGTTTGAATCAGATGGATTTCTCTTCTTGCTTTCTTGGTGAAAACCTAGGCTAGATAAACCTTTCACAGTTTTAATTTTTCCTTTCATATGGAATAGTTGTGACGGGAAGTGTTTGTCTCATAGCACCAGGCTGAGGAATCCATAATAGGTCTGCAGCTGTCTCAACCTGCTTAGAGTCAAGGTGATTTGTTTCGATCCCAGAGGCAAAATTAAGACACAGATGAGGTCAGATGTCACAACAGCACAACGTTCTATTGACTAGCAACCACTGGAGCATGATAGGAAAGAAAGATGAGGAAATGCAAAAGCGAAGCAGAGTAAAACATTTAAGATAGCAAGAAGCATAGCTACCACCGCAGAGCCAGTGATGTCTCACAGGTCCGCCTGTTTTGATTCGGTGGGGAAGATCTTCAAAGAGTAGTTGTTCACAGTGGCATTACATAGTGTTAGTCCTTCCGCATTTTAGTTTGTTCCACCCATGGTCCGTGCCTTTCCAAGAACTGCTTTGCCTACCCGCCTCCTATTTAGCACATCTGTATTTGGTTACTCTGGTGGTCGTCTGAGGGTCGTCAGGAGAGATCCCCCCCAGCATCGCCTCTGTTGCTGGAGACTGCGTAGTGGCCTGTCTTTGCAGATGTGGCATGACTTGCAGACTTGCACACCGTTGAGCTTCTGCAGACTTGCAAATGTAGCATGACTTGCAGTCACAAAACAACTGCCTGGTCAGCGATTGAGCTGGGCCCTCGGGTTGCTGTTTAGGGCTTGTCAGTGGTTGAGCCAAAACCTGTGGCTTGTCAGTGGTCGAGCTTCTTCCAGACTTGCAAACAGTAGCCTTGAGGTTTCTTCATGAGGAATTTCAGCAAGGTTGAGACAAACATTTAACACAGTCTCTTACAGCATTGATGATTTGAGCAGTAGTACAAATGCAAGTTTGGAGCTGTTGAGTAAAAATGGGGAGATCTTGGAAAATTTTACACCACTCCTCCCCAGTCTGCATCCCCCCAGTACAGCAACATTGCATTGAGGATACAGAGGTAGCAGTTATTTCTGAGGAGTTGGATTTATCAAAGTCAAAGTAAATTCTCATGAAGTATTCTGATAATAATTGAATGTCTGTGTTTCAAGTCATGAGTATGTGAAGCCTTGCAAGAAGTCATCACATCTTTTGAATATCAGAGGGCAGCTATCATCATATACAGGAAACAATTAAAGATTTCAAAAGCAAGGCATGGAGAAGAGATTTCTAGTAGGAAATAATTTCACTGTGAATGATCAGATTGGAGTTTAGAAAATACCAGAAGTGTTAAGTTTTACCATGCAGCTTCAGACTCATGGTCCATTTGACTTAGTATGTTGTTTTGGTAGTGGAGAGAACAAATAAGCTCCTCATGTCATCACGAATCCACTGCTAATTCTGCCTTTTCTCCAGGCAAATTTTTTAAGACTGCTGTGACATGAGGCTTTACTAGTGTCATCATAAATGGTATAGCTGATACAAGTTTATACCTTTTTAAGCGTGTGGAATTGGAAGGGATCAATTTTTTTGTCTGTTGTTAATATTTATGTTTGTGTACACGTAGGCTTCAGGTGTGCTTCGTAGTGAAGTGATGCCAAGAAATTTTACTGAGCACTGGAACTGGGACTGGTCCTCCTGTGCTTCCCATTTGTCAAAATAGTTGCTGTCATAGGTTTGGTGTGAGCCAGTTAGTTTTGTTCCAAACAATTCCCATTCAAGTTTTGCATACGAAATCATCATCCAAGGAGCATTCTAATAGCCAGTTTGGTTTTGGATTCACTTGCAGACCTTGTCTGAGAGGATGAAAGGGTAGCATTGTATGGACTGTAGCCATTCCATTACAGTTTTTCTCAGTGTCCTGTGATGTTCAAGGACATATTTTATTTATCAGTTCGAAGAGAACCTCAGTGCTTTGCATCGGCTGTCCCTGATTCCTATCTGGGGCCTGTTTGCCCTCCAGGCCAACCTCTGTGACAAGACCAATAATAAATGCAGTACAAAAACGTATGATGAATATTTAAAATATAAAAAATAAAATATATCATCCTTTATTTGCTTGAATTATATGCTTAGGAATGCTTTGTATCATATGGTTTTATAATTGAAATAATTAATAAAATAGAATTATTTAAAGCAGCAAAAAACAACTTTATGTGTCAGTATCCATAAGGGTACCAATTATACCAAGAGTTGGTTGCAGCTGCCATCGTGCATTTCTGCAGTTGCCCAAATCCAGTTCAAAGTAGCTGTGGCTCATATGAATTGAGCTATCTTGGTAGTTTCCAAGGTTAGTCATTCCAAGGGCAATTAAACTAGTAAGGAAATGGTCTCTAAGCCGCATACGCCCCTTTAGTCAGTCAGCTGTAATTCTGGAACCTAATCCCCAGGTAGATTGTTAAGAGATATATCTGTATTACTCAAAATACAAATGCAGATACAGTTGAAGTTACTTTTACTGCACATGAGCAAACTTCCCAAAGATGATGAACACTCCATGTTTTTGTTCTGTGTTATTCTTATACATCTCCCTATTTCTGAGCTGATGTGTCTGGCTGAAGTTCAAGCAACGCAGCAGACCTAGGAAAAAGTCAGGAGGTCACAGGGTGGGGTTTTTTGTTTATTTATTTTTGGGATTTTTTTGTTGTTGTTTTGGTGGGGTTTTTTTAGATTCTCTTTCACAAATTTACTGTAAGAACATTCTAAGCATTTACTACACACAGTTTAAAAAAGAATGGATTCTGTTTAGTGTATCTGTTTTATTACAAGCACCTATTTTTTCTTCTTCACTTGAATTTAAATGTACTTAGATACAAGGTTTGGGTTACTGTTATGTCTCTCAGTTGCAGAGGTATGGAACAATTCTGAAGTAGGATATTTGTCATTAAGTCACTGCTATGAAATGAGAAGTATTTTATTAATTAAATTTTCTTACTTACAAAAAAGCAGAAAGGTGAGTTTTGATGAACACATAAATACATTTATACTGCTTTTATTTCAGGCTGATCAGCTAATGTTTGCTCTACATTTTGTACGAGGAATGCACCCTGAACTTTTTCAAGAGAATGTAAGTGGCAGAGGAGAAAATCCCCAAGTGATTTGCTTGACTTAATATAAGGAGTAAATAAATAGATAAAAAGTTTTTGTCAGTAAGTGTAGGACTTAGTATTTTAGATTTGTATGCTACTGTTTTTCTATGATAGCTACTTTTGGATATCAATATTATATTTATTAGGTTCATAGTGAAGATTACCATAAGAAAGGTAGGTAAATGTTTGCCTTTTAAAGAGGGTCTTGAAAAATATATTTGTGAAGGGTTTTTGCACTTTTTTGCAGGTACTGTATGAGTGTTTCCTACCACCATGTGGCTAGATGTTTACCCATCCTTCTATTTAAATAGATATTCCTTTTATAAGTAAAGTGATAGATACACACCTGTTGCACTGTGACCAAGGGTTGCTTGCACACCGTGCCTTGGTATTCCAATGTAGAAAAAGAGTGCAAGACCTAGGGAGAAATTAAAGAAAAGTCTGGTTCTGCAACTTGTAGTTGCAGACACTTAAAGAGTTTCAAGTGTCTGCACCGGAAGGTGAAGTCGTGAAGTTACCCATGGTTTCAGCCATTGATTTTTCAGTGTCATCAATGTTCTCGATTGCAAAAGTCTTAAAGAGTGCATTGTACAGACAGTGTCCTCTTGTATGCCATTCTCTGGTCATCTAAATGCTGGATTCTTTGCATCATAGTGACCTGTCTTTGAAAGGAATGGTGAACTCATCCTGGAATAGTTTTTGGTTTTGATAGCACAGGAAGATACAGCTGATACAGGTTCAAACAACATGTAATAAAATTCCGCTATTTTCAGTTTTCAGGCAAGTGCAGCATTATTAGCGTATTTACAAAAAATTGAGAGATGCCGTATTTTTGACAGTGTTCTGAATGAGGCCTAATGTGAAAATGACTTGTTTATGGGGATTTTACTTGTTGTTTAGTGGCTACCCTATTGCTAACAAAGTTACAGCAGTGCTTAAGTACTGGAAACCCTTTTTCCTCAGGGCAGCACACATCTCCGTAATAGCATCTGCCTCTCTTTAGGTGTTAACTCTTCCGCCCAGTGTGGAGTTTCCTAGTGAGTTTACATGTTTCTAGTAAAATGATACTCTCAGTGGTGATTGAATTGATAATTAAAATATAAACACCTGTTAAAATTCATCTAAGCAGGTTATCATAGACTGGCTTTGTAGGAAACAGGAAAAAATAGACCTGTCGAAGAAGCAATTAGTTTAATCGTAAATTAATTTTGTAAATTAGGTCAGGTGGTTTGCTGCTAAGATTACTTACTTCTCTCCGTTGCCCTTACAGGCAGACTAGACCAGTTGGCTGGGTTGTAGTTGCTAAAGTTATAGTTTTCTATAGGGTAGTGAAATTAGTCCTGTGGAGTCAGCAATAGAACAATATGCACAATTGACTCAATGCTTAAATGGGGCTGATGAGCCATTAGTCAAGACACATTCAGTTGTCTAAAATACCTGCATGGATTGGAGAGACAGAGCCATAGCTTTTTGTACTAGAAGTTGGAGACTACCCATGGTAGTAGGTGTCAAATCTCTAGAGGAGTCTTGCATAGGGTAAAAGGTAAAAGTCAGATAATGCATTTTAAGGAGGTAATGGAACTTCATTGTATGAGGAATGTGAGGTTTTTAAGGTACAAGGTTTAATAAAGATGGGTTGAAACTTTTTGATGTTACGAATGCAGTGTAGTTTTATTGCAGACACATGAATTGACCAAGTGAAATCCCAGTCTTTCAGCAACGAAGCTACCTGATAAAAAAAAATAAATCTTGTTGGCAGAGTCATACCCTGGCTACTCTTCATTATTAGAACTTCCCTAATTCATCTTCATAATTTCTTTTCAGCTTCTGAAAAGATCTTGATATATCTCTCTAGTTCTTGAGTTTATAAGATCATGGAAGTAGGAAGTTGCAGATACTTTTCTAACTAAATTTAGGCCTGGCTGCTCAGGTTTCTTAAGTATTTCTAAGTACTGCTTTGTGTGTTGGCTGCTATTGTTAAATGTTCATTTCCATCAGCTGTTAGTGTTCTTTAGCAGCTTGATCTAGGTTATGTATAATGCACATTCTTTCAGTATCTGAGTACTCAAGAATTAAAACAGGCAAATAACATAATTTTCTTACTTCTCTGAAAGGTAGAAATTAATCTAAATTATAAAAAGAGTGCTTGTGTAAAATACTTGTTGAAGAAAATGAAGCTAGTGTTTATTCTTCTAAAGTTATTTCTTTTAAAGCTTTTAATGTGATGAGGTTAGAAATTGTTTATTATGCTGGTAGAGAATTAAGTATTCAAAATTCCTGTCCCAAAAGAGTTCAGCTTATTGCACTTAGGAATTTTTTGCACAGTTGTGAGAAATTTATAGTACACCTTCAACGTTATACTATAGAATGCTGTGCCTTTCCCAAGATTCTTTCTGAATCAAGATGTTTTTATTTTTCTGAGGTAGTATTAAATGTCTCTACATATTATACTTGTGCTTTTCCTCATAAAAATATTACACGATTTCTTGTTTTAAAACTTGAGAGCCTTCATGTATTTTTCTGTGCGTGAACATTTTCTTTGTAATTGGAAGGGGAACATTTTCTTTGTAATTGGAAGGGGAGCATCAGTTTGTAATTGAGAGAGTTGTTTCAGGACTCAGGTTGATGGGTATGAGAAGCCATGCTGTGGTCTAGTACTAGTTGATTGACTTCTTTATTTGGAATGTTACTTTAACAACAAAAAAGAAGTTCTTTATCATAGAATTATAGATACTGATCACGTAATATTTCAATAGTTTTGAAGATATTTTTGTTATATTTCTTACTACCTCCAAATACAAGATTATGTAATTTCTAGTATGTTTTTAAATATTTATCTAATCTGTTTTATGATGATTAAAACCTGTCATCCTGGGTACAAATAGCACGCCTAGATACAAATAGCATGCCTAGAAGATGTAATTATACATAAATTCAACTTAAGTTTCCCTTTCTTGGTGCAACCAAAGTATTCATAATACCTTAAGTATTCCTTCTGCTCTAACAACTACATCTTTTGGATACTGGCACATGAAACCCTCTTGAAACGTGGATTCTGTGGTTACCTGTTCGGTGTGGACTGCTGACGCCTGGCCAGGCGGGATGTGTGTCCTTGCCAGCCACATGTGTTACTTCTTGCTGGTCTCTAGTCAGGGAATCTGGGTGGGAACTGTGAGTTCCGAGAAAGGACAGAGCTTCTCTTTTTGCTTCTTCTTCTTGTAAAGCACTTGCGGTCACTTAGCTTGGATTGTGCAAAAGGATTGCGTACTAGTAATATTACCTAGAGTTTTAAAAATGTCTTATAACTCTTTCAGAATCTAAGCTTTAGTTTATCTTCCTGTTTTGCCACCAGCTACTACTTTATTAATCTTTATTCTTAAAGTTGGCTTATGACTTATTCATTTGTCCCCCCTAGGAATGGGAAACTTTTACAGGTGTGATCACTGGAGATACAGTAAGAAAATCAGTAAGCGACATTTATTTATATATTTTGAAATAAGGAACATTTACTTAAATTCAAAAAAGTTAAAGTTGTATTCTTACTTTTAAAATATTGTTTAATTCATTCATCAAAGGTACAATTAACTTCTTATATAGTAATATACAAATAAAAAAACTCTTTGAAGTGTTTGACATGGCAACTTATTTTCTAATTTGCATAACTTTTTGCCTTTGTTGCTTTTTTTTTCTTTTTCTGTTACTAGGACTAAAATTTGGTTTTTTTAATGGTATGTCTGAGGAGGTTTTAAGCCCTCTTCTGTAACTAAAACTAGTGTTTCCGAATCCCTCTTTCTTTTGGTATTATATATGAGTTGTACTTTTTGTATGGATTGATGGACTTAGCCATGCAATT